TATCTCCAATAAACCACCAGAAAACCAGAAGTTGTGCTGTGGCTCAATTGGTAGAGGGCTCGCCTTGAGCTGAAGAGCTGAGGGACAGCGCCCAAGCCCAGAGTTCAGGCCCCACGACCAACACAAACAAGCAAAACAGAACCCATGTGACTGGAGCCCCTCCTCCAGGGCTGTGGGGCTGTGGGGGTGCCCCAGGTCACGGCTGTCCATGCAGATGCTCTGCCCTTCTGGGCTGCATGTGCAGGGCCTTGCAGACCTCCACCCTGCCGGCCAACCTGCCCCCCTCAGGCGAGGCCGCTTGGCCCGTCTGCCGGGTGGAGGAGACCCACGCCACCCCCTGAACCCACTCCCGTGTGCTTCCCCACCAACAGACACACTGCCGGCAGTTAATATTTCCTAAGATGGAGCCGTGTGGCGGACAGTGGGCTTCTGCTTCCCGGCACCCCAGGGCTCTGCGGGAACATCATTAGGGGAAGTGGCTAATGAGCCGAGCATCTCTGATGGAGCCCCGTGCTGTCACCCTAAATGCCCTCTTCGCTACAGAAGAGCCACTGGCTCGATCACCATGCCAACTACCAAAGTGGGTAATAAAATCCATGAAACGGGAGGGGCACTGACCACACACTAGAAGCAGCCTGTGCCGAGTTCAGATGGAGGACAGGCTGGGCACAGGCAATTGTCCACAGTGTGGACATTGTGCTGTGAAGCCAGCGCTGCAGACAGCAAACCACAGCTGGTGAGGAAGATGCGGTCTGACTGCCGCCTGCCCTCACGTGGGGTCTCGACGTGCAGAACCTGCGTCCTGAGGCCACAGCGGGGGGGGCGGGGTCTCGATGTGCAGAACCTGCGTCCTGAGGCCACAGCAGGGGGGCGGGGGGCGGGGTCTCCACATGCAGAACCTGCGTCCTGAGGCCACAGCGGGGGAGGGGGGGCAGCACGGGGTCTCGTCTAGAAGCAGACGGTAACTATGGCAGGCTGGCCGGGCCGGGTGCCACCGGTCCCTGAGGAAGGCCGTCACAGGTGCACACGTGGACAGCTATGCCAATGAGCTTGATTCGCCAACAGGCCAGGCCAGGGGGGTCCGCTGCGACCGGAGGCCGCCCAGTGCTCCCTCGGCAGGGGAGCAGGCCATCCGCATTCCAGAAGCACATCCAACGTTAGTAGAGGTGACAGGTGCACACGCGTCGGCCTGCTCTAGTGTCACCCGGATCCCTCCCTCCACGTCTCGCTTGCAGGTGTGGCCGTCACTAACCCTACCAGGCCCATCCATGCCACAGGCCGGTTCCCCCCGTCTCTGAGTACCAGGGACCCCAGGGCACAGGCTGGCTAGCGGAGGTGAGGTGCCCTCAGGCAAGAGTGGAGGGGTACACTCCCCGCTTGAAAGGAGTGGAGGGGAGGAGGGGGGATGGGCCCCGGAGGCCAACCTGCACTTCTGCTCCGCGGGGGGGTGGGGGGGAACGGCTGGAATGGGGAGATGTGCGATGACCACTCCTCACTTTACCCGTACCATCTGAGCGGGAGCTCAGAAGGCCGCAGCCTGGCAGGTGCAGACTGTCCCCACGGCAGCTGGCACCCTGGGCCACGCGCCATCTGAGCCCCCTTCAGGACGGGGCGCACGTGGGGTCTTCCTGGTCTCTCCTGGTCCCAGGGGAAGGCCCGTGACCAGCCCCGCTAGCAGTGGAGCGCAGGTGCCGTGTGGGACCCACATGGACTCAACCCCCAAACCCGGCCTTGAAGAACCAGGCTGGGCCTGGAGCCGGAGGCAGCAGAGGGGAGGGGTGGAGGAAGGAGGTCAGGGAGCCGTGGCTCCCTGGCAGGCAACGGTGAAGCTCCACCCTGGACTCCTTGGAGAGGCTGTGTTTTGTGTTGGGTGATTTAGCCTGTTTCAGGCTGCTTAAGAGCACTATGAAATAAGACTTGAAAAACAGGACCTGGCTTGACACAGCCACAGACAAGGCTGTAAGAAGAAACACAGGAGAGCCGGAGATGTGGGGCGTCCCCAGAAGGCCTCATGAGGCCATGGCGGGCACCCAGCCGAACACCGGGGAGCAGCACACACGGGGGGCAGCGCACACGGGGGGCAGCGCACACGGGGGGCAGCGCACACGGGGGGCAGCGCACACGGGGAGCAGCGCACACGGGGGGCAGCACACACGGGGGGCAGCGCACACGGGGAGCAGGGCACACGGGGAGCAGGGCACACGGGGGGCAGCGCACACGGGGAGCAGGGCACACGGGGGGCAGCGCACACGGGGGGCAGGGCACACGGGGGGCAGCGCACACGGGGGGCAGCGCACACGGGGAGCAGCGCACACGGGGAGCAGCGCACACGGGGAGCAGCGCACACGGGGGGCAGGGCACACGGGGGCAGGGCACACGGGGAGCAGCACACACGGGGGGCAGCACACACGGGGAGCAGCACACACGGGGAGCAGGGCACACGGGGGGCAGGGCACACGGGGAGCAGCGCACACGGGGAGCAGGGCACACGGGGAGCAGCACACACGGGGGCAGGGCACTCGGGGGGCAGGGCACTCGGGGAGCAGGGCACAGCAGCTCTGCCAGCAGGGAGGGGTTGAATGGATTCGGAGAACATCCCTACCTGTGAGTTCACGGCAGAGGCCTGCGTGCAGCACGGTGGGCAGGGGCAGCGGCAGGACACCCCACCCT